TTCGCAGGATTTTGCACAATTATTGCGGATTTTTATTAAACGTTACAGTTAATTAACACAGTTTGTAGTTATTTTCATTAATCAAGTCATTATAATTATAACTTTAACAATCCAGTCACTTTTAATTGTCACTAATAATTATAACGTTTCACCAAGAGATGTGAATGGGATAAAAACATAAGAAACACTTTGCTGTTCGATATTTCACTCTAAAAAGTATAGGTAACAATGACGACGAACTGAGAACGAAAAGAGTATTATCCAAGAATTGTGGAAACTCGCGTATTTTGTTTTGTGTTCCGATGATATGGAGTGAGCACGAGCAACGTTTCCCGCGTTACGTTCTCGGCTAACACTGTTTTGAACTATACGATCGACGTGATGTACACTACATTTGACATTACAGTGTTGCCAAGACCTTGTTGTCGAACTACCGAAAATCTCGCTGATAGTATGTAGCTCTTATCCGTATTCATACATTTTAGGACATATAGGTTTTATAATATACATAATGAATGTAAGTTAATGTAAATGCATTCTAAGGTAAGGTCAATTAAAAAACCGACTTCAAAAAACCAAAAACTAATAACAAACAAAAAGTCAAAACTAAAAAGCAAAAAAATAACTCTCATTAGTACTAATACCTCTAGGTTACCCACCCACTGATAGGTAAGAAGTCGATGCCATAAGTTCCACACAAACTTATTCATTAAAACCTTAATAGGTACCTAATTCACAATTTTGTGGACATGCAGCTCTATGAAGAAATGGGACCATCTCGGGAGTAGACCCTTTAAAACAAAAAATAACAAAAATTTTGCAAATCGCTTCACACATCTCAGAGTTATGCGCGTACATACATACAAAAAAAAAGCAACATACCGGCCGAACGTATAACCTCCTGCTTTTTTGTTTGAAGTCGGTTAAAAAGTAAGTAATTGTCTTTTACGATGTCATTTTGTTTCGTAACAAAATTTTTAAGTAAAAAAAACATACGTTTAATATGTAACATAATCAAATTTCTAATTATCATAATTATGCAGTTATGTTTCATGATTGGACAAATTGCAATGAATGTTAAATTCAACTAATTGTAATTTTACCTGTAAATGGAACAAAATACAGACAACAGAACGCCAAAGGACACGGTATTAGCAGCTTCTTTCGCTTTATTTACATCATTAATTACTCTCTTCATGCATGCTCCTTGCAATAGAATACTTTTAATCTATAGCATCCATAAATTCTACAAGAACTTTTGATTATGTAAAAACTCATTGATAAATCTTATTACCATTATATTCCATACTAGTTTATTATAACTACTTAATAAAAGTATATACTTAATGATTTAATAAGTTAGTACTATACCAATAATGGTGGCCGGTAATTTCCCTCTTATTTAGGGAAGTCTGTTTCGTAATTTACTGGCAACCCCACTAGCCTTTCATTCACAGACAGAATATAGGTATGAAGTTGTTGCGTATTGTAGTCTTATGTTTACAACTTCTGTAACATCCGATTTTGGCGATGTTGGTAAAGTTATTATTTATAAATAAGAATAATTATCTGTATGTTCTGATTTAAGTAAACTTAACAGAAAAAATTGTTAGTTACTTAATTTGAGTTTCGGACTCAGTGTTCCATGAAGTTGGCAACGAATTTTAACGTAATATTATAATGTGTAAAACATTGTGAGTCTCTTACCAATTTTATCATGCACTAAATAAAAATTCATTAAAAATCCGATACTGCTAATATTGAGATTTTGGGATACTTACTTAAAAATTCTATTTAAGTACCTAAGTAGTTGACTCGATAAATAGATAACAATAAATATTAAAAATACGTGCCAATCTTCTTTTGTCATTTATTATAACATTTAGCGAAGTATATAAAGTTCTTTTCTTTACTGCCAGAGCATGCACAGAAGAATCTGTAGTCGAGCCTAGGTACTATATAATACTAACCGATTTCACTACAATTCCTGTTAACTTAGAACCAGAATTAGAAAAAAAGTATTTATTATCTAAAGTATATGTATACTAACTAAAGTATATGTACATGGAAAATCAAAATATCCGTTTGTTAGACTAATCAGAACTTGACCACAGGTGGTGAACCAAAGACTAAAAAAATATTTCATACATTTCCATTATAATTAGTTGTGTATATACTAAATTTTTTACGTTTTGCAGGATCCAAATATTTTTGTTTTTATATGAATTATTTTGAGTAGATTTTGATGGTTTTGCCGAGAATGTGTACAAGTCGATAATCATTACATATGTGAGTGTTGTAAAAGAATTTTTTTAAATGTTTTTTAGGCATGGCTTTTATTTAAATCTAGTTTGTTAGCATTTTTTATTTAAAATTTTTATGTGAATATATTTGGATCCCAGTCATTTTAATTTTCACTAAAATAATGTATAGTACCTTTTTTTTTTTGAGGGGGGAAAATTATCCAATGACTTCTCCCGCCTGGGTGAGGCGGGAGGGAGTGTCAGACTCTTACTGACTAAAAACCACCCCGTTCCTACTCCTGCACTTCGAGCCGGAGCCCCGGCAACTCGTTAAGTCTTCTGCGGCTCCGTATCGGCATCAGCCTTGTTAGGCCCCATCTGTGGTGGTCTGATGGCTCCTTGAGGCGCGCGCGGAACGCGACGCGCCGTACGCTCGGGCCTGGTTCTGGGCGGGCGGCGAGTCACCCATACTCGCCGTCCGCAGGCCCGTGCTTACGGTGGCCGGAGATCGTAATGTATAGTACCTGCCTACATAACATTGTCAAATGTTGAGTTATAACTTTAATCTCAAGATGATCCTATAATTATTTGTGTAAATAGTTATAAACTTACACTTATATAGGTTTTTTAGGTATCTTTTATAGGTTGTGTTCGTTTTTTTAATTTGATTAAGATTTTTACCTTTAATTATCAATGTGTTTAATATTTTTATGCTCGTTGAATATTTAAATTTTCTCCAAGGAAGTAAGACCGATATACAATGTAACTAGGTATCTCTAAGCTTAAGTTATTTCAAGATATATTTTCTTCACGTTTTTTTTTTCGTAATATTACTTTAAACTGTCAAACACCAATCGGTCACCGGTGACCGCGACCTATTGTTCTTTAATTGTGTCTATAAAACCGGTACTCGACGAGTTAAAATAGATGACGTTCAGTCTTTCCGACACTTTTCTTATTTACACGTAGGTATATAATTTGCATGTTTTCTGGAATTGACTGTGTGGTTTTAGTCGGTAAGAGTAATACATAACCTGCTGTCTGACGCTCATTGTCTAGACAAAGGGTATCTATGAGGATTTCCACACGTTAAAAAAAAGGTATATAATTTGCATTGCGTGAGAAAAAAAAACGCGCAGCAATATTAGTAGCTTGTTTGAAATTTATACAAAAAGATAATAATCTATTTATTGCAAATTTCGTGGTACACTGAAATTTTAAGACGTCCACTTTTCATGAATGAGGATGCGAGTTCAAAGCCTGGCAGATACTAGTGACTGTTTCCGAGTTATATGTACCTTCTAAGATTAGTTATATACCAGCGACGTACGATGAAGAAAAACATCGTGAGGAAACCTGGACTCTTTCTTTATATGCGAAGAGGCCTCTTCTTAGGGGTGGGTACTTATAACCTGTTCTTGTGATGTGATGAATTAATTATTGGATTTAGGGCAGATAATTTGAAAAGACTTTAGGCGGCCTTCAGTATTCACCTCTAGGTGATCGACAGTTTTATCAATTATTTACTTTAATAGCAGCCTTGTATGCCACATGAGATCCATAACTGACGAAAAGTGATAAAGGATTAAGATAATATTAAATAAGTAATAGTCTGTTTAGGGGTTACTTGTACCAAATTATTTTAAGCATGCATTTTTCAGTTTTTTATTTGTATTTCTTTTAGTAAGTCACTTATATTTCTTATATTGATAATGGCATGTCATGGTCATCCCTTTGAGATATCTATCAATTTACTGGAATAACGGACTTTGCGCGCAACAGCGAATTATAAGTTTTGTAGTTTCCATAAAGTCTACTAAAAGTAATATTGCGTCTTCTTGTCACCAATTTGTATTTATACTCTGTGATGGAATTTCAATTTATAATGTCATGTTTTTCTAACTATATTTAGGTTACTCAACTTTAAGTTGTACTTAAATATCGTGCCATCTCTGTCATTATACGAAGAATTTGTAGTGACAGAACTATATTTAAGCGCAACTTAAAATGAGTGGCGTTTGAGTATTTGGTATCCTTAGATTGCGAAACTATTCTGTTCAATTTCGATTTTGAAATTCTCAGGTTTCAAATTTTGCATTAAATTGCAAATTATTTAAAATGGTTGTTTTAAACTTAAATAGGTAGCGATAAATGATCATAACTTCAGAAAGTAGGTACAGTTTTGTATTGAAAGATCAATGCATCAGGAACATGTACCTATATCATACACTTATACATCGTCACGCCTGTCTCCCAATGGGGTAGACAGAGTCATCAGAAGGCCATAGCACACAATTCTAGCATATCTCTAGTACCATATTCTAAGTCAGGAAGATAGCGAAATTGCGCAATACACTGATATTCATGAAACTAGTAACAATGCTATACCTTAGTATTACAATTTTTTCTGTACCTTAAATAATCTCAATGGGTTAACGCTTATTAAAGACAGAATTGAATGAATCTCTAAAAACAATGTATGTAGATACGAATATTCATAGTGGATTATTTTCGAAAAATAGAAAACTAACTTTTTGTACACCAAAACAAAATGTTTAATTTTTTCGCATTGCAAACATTCGCTTTAACATTTTATCAAGACCTCCTGAGCTACTGAGATGGTACCTAAATCAAAGAACGTGTTTCCTGATCGTAACTCATAAATACGTAGTTATTGTTAAAATCGCAAAATGCGCAACTTTGCTTAGAATAATACTAAAAATACCATCACCTCTGCCGCGTAGCTGTTTTACTTACCTAATTTGCCAGGTATAACATCAAACACTTCGTTTCTATCATGTATAAACGAAGGGTTTGGGTATATTTCCTGAAAATAAAAAGAAAACATATAAATTAAAAAACATTCCAGCTGTATCTAACAATTGACGTTTTCATTCCTGGGTTGCCACCTTTAGTGTCATAATTTACCCGCTGAGTGCAATATTGTCAAGCAAAATTTTATAGTTCCCCATTTGTATATATTTAATTTCATTTAAAAATATTTTTTACCTAGAATTTCAATATCTTTTGCGAGTGGTTGGTTATAGAGAGAACTTTTTGAATAGCTAGTTATAGGAATGAGGTGAAGTTTATACTTAATTATGGCTGGTTAGAAACAAAAATGTTATATTCTATCTATACATATTTGATTAAACATACTCTTATGACATATATGAAAGTTTCACAAACTTTATATGCTGTTGATGTCAAGTTCTTGAATAAGTAGTTATCATGTCGTAGAATATGTATATTTATTTGTGAATACAAAATTGTTAAACACAAGTACTATAATTCAAGGTACTATAATACAAGGTACTATAATACAAGGTACTATAATAGTAGTAACTATTAAATTACAATTAAGTTACAATTTTCATTACATTTCCTTATTCTCTTTGTCGAAAAATAATACGATTTAGAAAATTATAGTGTCCATAACCTACTTGTGGTATTATAACAATACATAATTAAGAAAGATTTCATTACATTTTTTCTTAAAATCTAAACACACAAAAATATCAGATTCATGTTATTTCTTGGATTTGTTGAAACAGTTTCTTAATTGGCAACACAAAACCCTCTTGTTAATGTTTTATGGATTGGTAACGCCATCTATCATTTTACAGATGTACTGTTTAGTGTAGACCTCACGGACTCAAAACAAAGTATTATAAAATTCTTAACAAGCGTGTTATGTAACAAATAAATTTTGACTTATTATTTCATTACTAAAATTATTGTTATGGCAAAATTGTAAAAAAAGAAAAGCCTTCCTATCCTAATAAACACGTTACGTCAAATAAATTAAAAAACCCCTGTTTAATGAATAATTTTCAATGAATATAAAATCGCGTCAAAATATAATCATGTTTTACGCAAATTAATCTAACCATCTGACAGTAAATAAGACGAGATAGGCTGCCATCTAGCGGGAATTCAACTTGAAAAGAGTCGCGCCAGAACGTACAACAGCACAGACAACTTCTGGCTTAAAATCTTTTGCAAATGATCATAATTATACAACATTCCTTTTACGTTAGGAAAGTTTTAGATTCTATGAGTTACTCTTTCAAAAAATAGGACAGTCTTGATAATGTGTGACAGATGTACAATGCATAGGGTTTTTCACCAACTCGACACGAGGAACTGATCACACGTGTGTCCAGTTGGTGAAACTTTAAATTAGCACTAATTATTCTTTCGTCATTTGGACACGCCAAGGTTTTTATGTATGTCCACATAGTGAAAATTAAAATTAATTACTTTTATGTTATCGTCAACTGGACACACCTATATTTTTTTTCTAAAAAAGGTACAGTTAAGTTAAAAATTGTTTCGTTTTTAAGACAAATTTTGAAATAAAACAAATGAGTAACAATCAAATATTTATATTAGAGTTAGACTCAAAGACTGTAATAAAACAGGTTCCATGTTGAACATTTGACAAGCATAGTACTCGTAACATGGTAATAGCGACTTTCAAACACTTTCGGTGTCAAAAATATATTTTTTACAAATTCACAAATGGTGAATAATTACAAAATTACCCGGTGAAATTACTAGGTGGGACGTTTAGAGGACAACGATGATTGTGATTCAAAAATATTATCTGCGTGACTGTACTTTGTCATACATTCGGGTAAAATGTGAACGTGTGTCCAGTTGACGAAAACACAAAAGTAATTAATTTTAATTTTCACTATGTGGACATACATAAAAACCTTGGCGTGTCCAAATGACGAAAGAATAATTAGTGCTAATTTAAAGTTTCACCAACTGGACACACGTGTGATCAGTTCCTCGTGTCGAGTTGGTGAAAAACCCAATGCATATATATATTTATACGTAATAATATAAAGTAACAAATGCCACGAAAGTTTAGTAACTCTCCTCCTTATAAGGATACTTGTTAATTTCGCCGTCAGTCCAATGCCGTGAGGTATCAATGAACTGATGTGATGAGCACCTTGTCTGCAGGTGGGCGGCACTGACAAGGTCGACCAGCAGTCCACCACCCACTGGCAACTCAATACCTCTTACTTTTCATACATTCCTTTTGTGACACATTTTTACTAACTGGTTTTTACCGGCGTGTTGGTACCTATTAGTTGACGGGGAAAGTGTTGCTAAAAACAACTCTATGCCATTCAAGACAGATATCATTATTATTCTTGAATGACTTGTTGGACCAGTGGTCGTATGCATGGATACTCGGCACATAGTCTGGGTGCGATCTCCTGTTCTAGTAATGTAGTTTTCCATTTTGTTGTTTAGAAAACGCTCAATAGCATCGTTATAAATCAATCTTAGTGTATGATAAAATAGTTTACCAAAAATGGTATTTTTATATGTACACCTCCCCTAAGTTTTCCGGATACTACAAATGTCTGATTATCTTTATTATCTTATGCTAATCTGTAAAAAATATGTCATACATTGTTTAATATGTGGTTTAATACATTTCACATCAGACAATTAAACTTCACTAGTTAAACTTAAATTTAATCTCGAATTGTCTAGCTTTGGACGTTTGACGTTGGGTATACGGTCCAATGTCAAAGAACTGACAAAAAATAGAATGGCGTCATGATGAAAATAATATTTTTGATTGTATAATTAAAATCTTGATGAACTATTACTTAATATAGGAGGGCAAGTTTTCTAAAGGCATGCTTAATTGCTTTTCGGATCATTAACTTTTGTGACTAAGATTTCTCAAATTGGTTGACGGCTTTGTACTAAACGAATGGCTATCACATCCTGTTCAATCGAAAAAATATTATAATAACATATAAAGCGATACCACACGACATATGAGTAAATAATAACAATCTGTTTTTTTATTTAATCAACCAATTTCCATAACCGAAGAAAAATGTACCCTGTGCAGTTTGATTTCTATCTACTTCCTGCAGGACTGAGGTACATGTTAGTCTTTCTTGTTGCAATGAGGCCAAAACCTATTAATGACCCCTATATCAATACAAATGATGATGAAATGATGTGTGGTGATAGTAGAATATACAGCATATTTATCACTAACTCTTCTCGAGGTGTCGTCACAACAGTCAACAAAGGGATTACTAGAGACAGGAACCAGGAGCAGCGTTTTTGAAAACCAAAGTCTTTCAAATTGCGATTTCTATCCCCCCTACTAAGTATGAAGATTACGGCAAACCCTCTAATGCAGAAGAAGTATGTGTACCAGCACTCACTGGTGTGTCGGGGGCAGTTGACGTTGTTGATGGTGAAGAGTAATTCCAATCTCTGAGGACTGAAATATATCGGTCTCCGAGTAAAAAAAATTAAGACGCACCAATACTTATGAATGATATCTAATTCTGAAATGGGATTTAACTTTGAGATAGAAGCAGATCCGTAAACTTGTGAACGTTTTTAGTAGGTTTATTTAAGTACTAAGATATTTCTGCAATCCTAATGATGACCCGCGTTCTAAAAATACCGAATAGGTATTGTATCGATACGAGATATTAACATGAAGTAAAATATTCATTTCGAAATCTAGACAAACTAGTTTCTGACTGTTTTTTGTTACTTGTATATGTTTATGACGTCACACTGTCGCTATCGCTTAATGCAATGATGAAATTTTTCAACGGCTTTAAGTTTTATTACCAATACACTAGGAGACAATTGTCCTGCTACACGTGTTGCCAGCGAAGTTGGGTGAAGTAGCGCCACGTTGCCGGACTTTGGTCGCCATACCTGGCAACATCAACGTCGCTGTATATACAAGGGTATAAGGCTAATATAAGTCAGTATATAAATCCGAATGTATCCCTTGGCTTATAAAAGTCCTTTTTGTACGTATCCCAATCCGCATTTATTTATGGAATAAGACAGGAACTCTGAATAGTCCTTTATTTTAAATGTTTTTATCTTCTTCGTTCTTAAAGAGAATATAATACGTATTTCACGGTTGGCGCAGTGATTTGGTGACCGGCTGTTGTGCAACGTGTCGCAGGTTCAATTCCCCCAGGTCGTGTCGGTCTGCTGTCCTGTCGGGTTTAGAGAGTGAGGAAACAGAGAGTGTACCTGTGTTTGCGCACACACTTGTGCACTGTAATATAAAATAATCCTGCGTAGTGGGGTAGTCTAGTTAGACAGACAGGCCACCATGACCGAAATCGATCACGAGATAAGCAATGGCATACCCGTTTTATAAATAATAATAATGAATTTTAAATTAAAAAGGCAAATGTCACATTTTATTAAATTTTTTATAGCTTGCTTTTTAATAACATTTCCTAGAAAATTGAAAGCGTGTAAAGTGTGACAAAGATAAAGATAGTTTTATTTGCCAAAACATGTGTAGGTTATAATAATACATTCAAAAATAGATGATGTTGATGTGAACCAAGCATTAGTAAATATATATATACATATATATAGATTTAAATGAAACCCGTTTCCCGTTGCGCGTACGAAGTCGCGGGCAGAAGCTAGTACCTATATAACAATGATTCCCTTTTTCCTTGGTCAAGGTATCACGCGTGATGGGTGGACTCTGGACCGATTTACCAATTTTTTTTGTTGTATTTTTATTATTAGGAGAAGGTTCTTAAGACAGAGAAAATCCTGAAAATCCTACAGGACGGGAGAAAACGGGATTGCGCGTACGAAGAATATATATAATACGTAGAAGCTAGTAAATAATATAGAGGTAAATGAGGAAATATAAGTTACAATTTGTGTGATCGTGACTGACATTTCTTAAACTTAAAATTTTAAAGCTGCCTCGATTGGAACCTAAGTTTAACCTTGGTTTTTATAGGTTAAGTTCGAAGTATGTTGCATAATTTATATAGGACGAAACGAGGGCACCAAGATCGACGATCAATTTAAAAGAAAGCCTTGGAAAATAATAGGAATTTCTGATTACAGAGCTACTGTATCTATGTATGATTAGGGCAGGATGTAACAGATTTATTTATTTATACGATTAGAACGGTACAAAAAACCAATAGCACTACTCAATAAATATACAATTGACAGAAAATATATTTAAACACCTCATCATTAGTAGAGACTATAGTTCATTCATATCTTTCGCAAATCTTCAGGCATTCCGACAAAAATAATCTTCATAATCTTCATCAGATATAAGACGTATGATCATTATCAGTCAAATATATGCCTTTTATAATTATACTTATGGTTAAGTTTTGTACCTGGTCTTTTCCTGAATCTTTCTATATTTACCTAACGATGCGATTGAATTACAACAAGCACAGATAATTTATCTTTTCTGTGTTTACAACAGTCATCCTTACGCTTAAATACTCTTGCTAAACAGTTGCGTTTGTGTCCACCAGCCCGGAGCAGTCGGATTAAGTAGCCTACCTCATTTTGGCAACGTTGAGAATACAATGACTGTTGTGTCATTTTGGAAAACGTTGACATTTCAAGGTTTCTATTTAACAATATGACATTTTAAATTTATCGTCAAATACTCAAACGTAACTCAATTTTAAGACTCGAAGATTTATTTCTGTCACTAAAAATGTTTTGTAAAATAACAGAGATAGAAGGATATTTAAGCAAAACTTAATATTTAGTAGCGTTTCAGTATTCGAGCGTTAGTATTTTGTAATATTAAAAGTAAGAACTTCAATGAATTTGGCGTAATATACGCACACGCGTGTTTGTTTTTGATTACATATTTGGATCTTGGGGCCTAAACACAGCTTTAACCTAAAGGACAAAAGAAATCAAACTTCAGGTTCTAAAAACACTAGACAAATAGGGCTGACATTCAACATTATGAGTGCTAAGTATTGCTATAACGTCTACTTCTTAGGTATTTACATAAAATGCATATAAGCTAGAAATAAGTTTTCATTTACAATCCGGTTTTAAGACCTCGCAGCTTGTAAACAAATATTTAAAAATGATTCTTTCCTTGACTTTTGAAATAGCAAATTGAATACTGAATCAGTACGAATAATTTTATATTTCTACGTAACAAATATTAAATCGATAGTGACAACTTTCACATGTGAAAATCATGCAATTTGTCAAGCAGTTTCATTTGCATAAATAAATTATATTTATTGTTGAAGATAATTTTGTAACCTTACGGATGATGAGTAAATCCGCTTCGCTTGTGAACATAACAGCTCGCTCTATTGTAACAAACCTACTAAAATAAAAGTTCGTGTATCATGAACAACTCTTAGTTTCTACACAAGATCGTATTCGGCAGTGTTATAATTTCTAACGGGACGTTTACAATCGCGTGTTTTCGATACGAGATTCGAATCATTTTTTTCTTATGACGTCATCGTATTGTGCTCTTTTTCGTATAACATTTGGGCAATAGGTACATGTATATTGTATATCTTTACGAAAGCTTTATGCATTGCGGCCTTGTGATGTAAGAAATATGGTCAATCGATACTCAAGAAGTAGTTCGTTGTTCGCAATATTATAAGGCATTTTACACCCACACGGGTAAGTGGCAGACCGGAAAGTTGTCACTTACTCAAGACACGAATATCTTGTTGCAAACGCACCTCCAACGGGGTTGTAAAATGGCATACCAACAGACAGCTGAGGTTTCTCGACTGAAGTTATATTTAATGCATTATTGCGAAACAGGCAGGATTTTTATTTATTAGCCTAATTAATTTATCTATATAAGGACACATACCTTAGATCTCTTCCACTCAAAATGAAAAGGGGGAGTCTGGTAGTAAAACACTGAGGACTGATTAGCGGGGAAGTCAGGGTCTTCCCAGAGCTCCCCCTTCTCCAGGCACGTCTGCTTGATGCGCTCGTAGTCTGTCATCCTGTGGAAAATGATTGAATATAGTCACCAGTTTATGATATTGAAGAACGAGAAGTTTTAGGTATAAACTTATTTGTAATAATCCCTTTTATAGCTCTGTAGAATCGCTATCTGTCCGAATCGCTCAGTAGCTATTTTAACGTAGACACATTTGAATCACATAACAATAATACACTGGTTTTTTCTCATTATTAATATTCCTGATATAATTAACTGCGGGATGTATGTATGAACGTTAATTCTTACAACAAACTTGGGGAGATTATACAGATTTAATCAAATCAAACTACGATAAGTACGTATTTTGACAAAAAATTAAATTTTTTATGTATGTTCTATCTTTTTCGAGTGATAACAAGCGTGAAATTATGATGATTGCATTCAAAACAAGTAGAGTAAATAGAAATAGAAATCTTAAAGCTTAAGACGCAAAATTCTATAATAAATCTTAACGGAACTGTATATTGCTGCTTCACTGACACAGCGAACAAGTGGAGCGTGGTAAATAAATGGTGACCAGTCGTCCAGCCATAATGTGCTACAATCAGAATAATAAATAGGATATGCATATGTATTGGTAATGCACACCTAGGATGTAAAGGACCGAACTTGCTAATAAATGCATTTTACCTAATTATACAAAGTAAGCAGCGAGCAGTGAGGATATTCAGGTTATTGATAGAGATTTGTAGTGCAGTCTGTTGTTAGGTATGATGTTCAGCAGTTTTCCTTAAAATTATAAATTAATATTCGCATATCGATTGTTATTCACATCCAAATGGATTTACCTACTTAATGTGAGTGTGTTTACAATCACAATGTCACATGCTCTTCGGACCCAGGATGCAGCTGATCATATATAAATATTTTTCGGATCAATAATCGAGCCCATGAGACGGTCAGGTCAGATACAGTCAAAAAAATCTGGTGTTGAATAAAATGTAATTGTGTAGACATATTTCCTATGGTTGAAGAGAGATGTAGGTTTCCATAATGGTGTACCGAAGCCGTAACAGGTGTTGTATAATGGGTGTTCCGGAGCTGGTCTATTTAGAGGCCTCGGGTGCTTAGGTAAGGACTCCACAAACACAGTCGCATTTTGAAGGTTTCGCACCGTAAGAAAAGGTATATTCGTTTTGTATCACGAAGTTTTGACTCGCTCTGGTGCCTACGATAACATTGTATAGACGACGAATCCCTTTATTATACAACCATTATGTATAGCAATCATTATGGGTTATTAGAGGTCCAAGTGAGCTAGACTTGATTGCAATGGTGTAATAATTGCTACAGTATCATGTTACTGTCGCTGTAATTATTAGTTTGACAGTAGATTCACTAAATTAAATGCGACATTGTGGCTTTTCCATAGAAAGTCTGTTTATATTAACAGATGGGCAATTTTGTTGCTTTTGAATCATAATACCTATTGGTAGGTACTGCCATAGTTGCATAATATATTTAGGCTCAAACCGAAGCTTGAAAATTATTCTGCTGTTCTTCGCTTCATATGTTATTTTCTTAATTTTATCAATTAGTTTAACACACGTAGAATCAAAGGGAGTCACGATCCTCAGCAGTGAGGGAATCGACTAAGAAGAAAAAGAATACACGTAGGTATAAATTATAATGTTTAAATGATATTTCATTCGATCTGCATAATAGGTTTGGATTCTCCATCCTTTACTTGGAGTCCAACCTAGAATAATCTGGATTTCTCAAGGTTAAAGAAACTTGCAAACGGAAATGAATCCTAAAAGCACATTAAGTTTTGTGCAGTCTTCTAAAAAAGTTTTCTTTTCATAGTATTTTAAACTTAGTAACAACAGCTATGATCACTTGGTTACCTCAAATGCGTTTGTAACCACAGTTTTCTCTCATTCTATTGGAAATCGCGTGTTATTGTTTGTGCCTACAATGGAAAATGAATTTTAAATAAAATCAGATCTCAATGGGATTCCACTTTTTACGCCGAACTTTCGCAAGTTATAACGTTAATGTGTCTAAGGTCGGGAACCAGGTTGTTATACTTTACTTTTGTTTTTATATCACTTCGCAAATACATGCAGACCTTCATGTCCAGATCCTCTATACATTTCTAAATTCTATTACTGATTACTTCCAAAAAATATCCCAATCGTTGTCTACGATTTTCAGACAAATGTAGGTCTTTGTCTAATTTGGATGGTCGGTGAAGTATTGTGTGTAGAAGAGTTTTAAAATTGAATGGGACCTAAGTAAACTAGTAAATATTATATTAGCTTAAAGACAATAAAGCTTATGCACAGTTCAGTGTCAACTAGCAGTAGTTAATGTCACGGGAGTTCATGCCCACTATATAAATACCACAGCAACAGAGTAGCTATCGAAATATTCATCTCACATGAAAGTACCGATGATGTAATTACCAACATGATCTAATCTAACATGGTAATATAACTGCAATACTACTTACGTTCACTTGTGCGCATTGATTTCTTTATAAGATTTAAGTACTATCGTATTCACTAGACTATGAATATATTTTTACTGGCTTTTCACTGTGTTCTCATAATAAGCGTTCATTAAAGTTTATCGCCGTTAGCATTAGAAACCAGCCTACGGTTTAGAATGAACACCTAATAAATCGATTTTCACGTTTCAAAAGCACCAGTTAGTGAATTTGAAATAAATTTTTTAATATAATATATATACCAGTACTTTTTTTTATAAGGAAAAGATAGCCACACTTCAGCACAAAAGGGTGGGCTCGACCGAAGTTATACATATCGCGGCATCACAAAAACTAGTGTGAAACAATGAAAGCGTATTATTTTGCCGTATAAGTAACCGAAGCCGCAATACACCTGCTCCATTCCCAATCTCAAATATCTAAAGATTAAGGATCAAACCCCTAAAGAAATGATCCTTCAAAAAGTCGGTAGGGCACTTTAACTCCTCTGGTGTTGCTATTGTCCATGAGCAGCACAGCCATTACCATCCCTACACCTACATCCCTACACCCTTACCAACAGGTAATTCGTCGGTTCGTTTGCTACCCAATGCCATAAAAATTAGCGAAAACTGTTGCACTTCTGCCTTTTTTTGATGGGGAAGAATCATCCAATGACTTACCCGTCTTGGGTGAGGCAAGCCGTTCCTAGGTCTGATTCGTTAGTGTTAATAGAAATCAATTTTGCATTCCGCATTAATTAATCATTTTGTATCAACAGTCAAGTATGGCTTAGCTTAGATATACAATCTCGGTAGTTTACCTTGTTGACAATGCGGAACAAACGGGGCCAATGACCATAATAATTAACTCCTCTATTTTATTGAACTCTCAACAACGCGATGTTTTCCTTTAAACACTTGAATAATATTACCTTACTATATGTAGTATTAGAGGTACATAACAGGTATAACAAACACTGAAGATAGTTGAAGTCGTTTATGCAATAACTTATGAAGTGTACGATGTTATCGGTACAATAATTGCATTATTACTTTAAAATATTTAATAAAACTACAAATATCGAGGTATATTGAGTTGTATATCCTAGAAATATAAGAAAATAGTATAAACGCTAATCAAATACACTCATTATGTTTTCCATTTGCTTCGATTTGGCTGAATAGGATTATTTTTCAATGCCCGCTGGTTTTTTGCAGCTACATGATGGTGTTTAAAGTTCCCTGTACAAATCGAGATCTAATTAGACTCTTAAAAATTAGAATCTTTCCCATTTTTCAAATTAGTAATAAACTTTCACTGTAGAACACTTACATTTGTTCTGAGTCTTTCACGTTCCTATTCAAATAAATAATAATAAGAACATGTAAGATATGCAGAGCAAGTTCGTAGCGGAAAATCCATATAATTATGATAGATACGAGTATCAACACAGTAAGTACCGTTGAGGAGTTTAATTGACCGAACAGTTTTCATGTTCAGTTTTTATGGTAGATATTTCGACCTGAATAGCGTGGCAGTGGAGCGTCTGACGTCTTTGCCTCGTGTAGTTGATCCCAAATAGCCACTGATCACAATCACAACTAAAAAAAACATACGACTGCGATGTTCAATGGCTATTATTCCATGAAAGAGTCAGTCAGATCGATAGTGCGGTCAATTGTTGTCTTCTCCAATTGCCAAACTCTTACCTCAGCGGTACTTATATGATACATCACGGAATAGTCAAATATTGGCATAATCACTTTTTTCTTCTCTAGTACCTACGAGTAATAAGTCCATCTGACTTATTACTCGTACTGTGTGTTTGCCAGTTCATTCTGATCATAATCATGAGTTATAAAACACCTTGCAAAACATTTTAAACCTACCTCAACCATCGTAATGGTTGGTTAGGTAAGTGTAAGTACAAGAACATATTTTCCTCGAAGTTTATTTCTAGCGAAGGAAAAATATGTTTTGTTACCTAAATGAGCTATAATGTAAGGGCCTTAGTAAGATTTCTTACTGACAATCGTGTTGTTTTAAAACTTTATGAAGCACGTCATCGCGTCGCGACGGTTGGGAAATCTTAGTACAATAATTTATTGTTACCAAAGTAGCACGTGGTGGTGGAAACTTTTATAGGCTTGATGTAAAGGGCACGTGCCAGACGGTTTCATTTTACAAGACTTACCTACTCAATGTTTTGATATTGCTTCGGTTGGTAAATGAGCTACTTATATCCTTATGGTTAGTCATCGCCGCTGCACATGCAATACCAGAGGAGTCACAAGTGGATTAAGAATTTGGCGATGTCAAAATGCACACGTTTTTGGAACCATCTTAGAGCAAATCAAAAAACCCTGAAAGCATCTCCCAATGTACCAGCCAGGGCGACGGCCTAGCTGCATTAATTTATTAATTAAAATTTAATTATAATACAATTATATGCAGAGAAACAGTTATCTTCGCTTTAAGAATCTAATGACAGCTTTATAATTTTTGGCACATTCTTTTTCTTGATTCCGGTGTATGACAGTCGGTACTAAGCATGCTATGACTGACT